TGATGAGTAAGGTAACTGAATCTGCTGCAAGATGTGCTGGGTTGGAGCTCATTAAATCTCCATTTCCATCTCTGCCATTTCACTGTGTGACCTTGGGCACAACGCCTTGTCCGAGTGTTGCACCAGGGCAATGGGAAGGACAGTGCCAGCTTATCTCTAGCGACATGGGGAAGGGGACCACAGGCTTGACCTTCCAGGGCAAGGAGGTYTGGAGAACAGCATGCAATGATCTAGGGCAATTTGGTGTTTTCAGGGGGAAAAAAAAACTCAAAAACCTCACTTTTGCTGATTCTTAAAACAGCAGGCTGAACTTTTACTTAGCTTTATAAAACAGCACTAGGTTAAGTGCTAAAATGTTGTCTAGAGAGATGTGTTTCTCATAGCTGAGATGAAAACTAACCCTGAACACTGCTGTGGAGGAGATTGGCTCTTCTGTTCCCCGAGCTGGAGGCTGGAGCTGCTGGAGGCTCCTGCTCTCAGCCCCATTCACTGACACTAGCTGGACAAAAGCCCAGACCTAGAGYGTGGAACTAACACTTCCACCCTGCTTTAAATATGGCTCTAAAAACCAGGTGAACTTTCCTGCTGAATTTTTAAAGAGACTCTTTAATGTTTTAACACTGCTGATTTTCTAAGGTTGTTAAACACATGTGAAAGGGGACTGGAACGTGGCTTCCATGTGACAGCACAGAAAGGACGGGGCTGGCTGCATGATGCTCCTTTTCCATGACATGGGGATCTTTTCCTCACCCCGGGCTAAGTCCAGGAGTCCTCCTGCAGTCCCAGGAGGTGGCAAAGGAGCGGGTACAAATAACAGTATTATGAGCAAAGCCTCCAAGTTCTCCCTTTCAGCACATGATGCGCTGGGCTTTTCTGCCGAGGTTTYCAAATTTACCCCCACAGATGAGGGAAGGAGGCGGCGAGGAAGGGAGTTTGCAGGGAAAAGCCTGCAGTGCTGGGGAAGTGGAAGTGGAGGGTAACCACACGCCAGACATGGTTCCTGCTGAATGCTCTAATYCTTAACTACAGCGACCAGAGCTCACACCTGTGCTGGGCTGCTATGGGGGCTGACTTCCTTTCCAAGAGTGGTTTGGGGCTGGATTGGGGCATTTTGGGTGGGGTTGGGGGTTCCCGGGTGGTTTTGGGGTCTTGGTGGGAATCTGGGATCTCTCCGGGGGCTCAGAGCTCCCGTGAGAAACCCTGGCACCGAATACCTTGAGGCAGGAACCCTGCTTGAGTTCAGCTCAGGGAAAAATTATGTGCACGTCTTTGCTGCTGCTCCAGCAGCCTATTTTGGCCTTTCAAGAGTAAGGAAAAGAGGTATAGTGATAATGAGGAAGCAATGGAAGTGTTTTTCTGAAAAGCAATGTCCTGGGAAAAGACAACATGTGTCTATGAAGGGAATTGAGATGTCCTGGGCCTTGGGTAGTGTTGTGGTGGTTTGGGGGCCTCTAGGAGTGCCGGCTGCTGTGGATTTTCAGGCAGGAGCTTTCGGGCTGTTTCCCATTTGCCAGCTCCTCTGATTACCGCACGCCGCCAGGCCGGCCGCCTYGCCGGGCGCTTCAGGAAGCATCGCGGATCAGAAACAGGAGCAGGGCTTCCTGCAACTCAAGGGCTCAGATAAGGGCAGGCTTGCTCGACTGCCATGTGTGATAAGGAGRTGGGAAAAGGGAAAGCAATGTGAGCGTGATGTTTGCAGTGGCGTCTCCCCGAGCGCCAGCTGGGCCCGCGGCAGGCTCGGAAGGTGCAAACGCTCCCYGGCTGCTCTCCCGGCAAATTGTCCTCTACGTTAGCACCGTGGTGTCACCTGTGGCCCCGTGGTGTCACACACGGCCCCGTCRCTGAGCCTGCCCTGTGGACCCTCAGCAAGGGGGTCCTGCTGGGTGCCGTCGCCTCCGGCCACAGCTCCCTGCCCGGCACGCGGCTGGCAGCGCTTCCCGCAGGGGCTGCGTGGAGAAACGGCAAAGAAATGAGGGAATYGCCCCAAAACGAGCGCACAGCCGCCAGTCAGGCTCCATGCAGCAGGCCCCGGGAGGAGGAGGGAAGCCCAGCAGCGGGAACAGGCTGGGATGGGAGAGCCCGAGCCCGGCGGAGCAGCTTGGGACGGGGAGAAGCGGCTCGCGGCGCCAGCGCGCTGTGTTGGCTCCTCCCGGGGCGGCCGCCTGCTCTATCGGGGCAGGCAACGGCTGCGCGTTAAAGCCTCCCCGCGGCACCGCGGGCGGGTCAGCTTGGCGGGAAGGGCCGGGCCGAACCGGGCCGAACCG